CACAACTCAAGTGTCAGACGTAAAAAGTTTAACGAAGTTTTTAGTTTAAAAATAATTTGAACAGGATTGTCATCTGTTTGAAAAGTCGAATTAAATTAAATTATATGAAATATTGAAATATGGGCGTCAAACAAAGGAGTATTAAAAATATTTAGTTCGAGCATTTATAATATTAAAGAGGGTTTCCACTAGGGATGTTAATTTGTTCGATTTTTGCGATCTCGGGATTTTCGGGACATCGTTCAAACAATCCCGGGATCCGAGGATTAATTAGATATTCATTATTTTCCAACAACTTAACATGAAAAAATTGCATCAATATAGTTTGAGAAGCTGTCCTACCATATAATAAATACATAAATGGGTTTGAAATCTTTTTTATTATTTTAGTTGAAAAATATTTCATTAGTAACAAAACAAAAGAGAGCAATTAAATTTTTACGCATTTAACAAGACTTTAGCGTGTACATGTAACTTAAGGCATGTCGAAAAAAGCTCGATGCAAAAAAAGCTTAAGTCAACATATGTATGTATTGTGCGGCTGAAAGAAGTTCATAATACTAGTGGCATAAATAAAAGAAACGCCTTATTTCAACCAGTTTAGTCTATATTTCTTGTCTTTATTTAATATTTAATTTTTTTTTATAAAAATCTGCCCTATTTTATTAACTACATTTAAATGAGCGTTTCAAATTTGTACAAAAATTATAAAAATGTTTTGCATTTGCCAAAATTTCAAACTCTTAACTCAGTATTTTTAGAAACATTTTAGGTACGCAGTTTTATAGCCCATTAAATTAAAGTAGGATAAAATGAAGTTTCATGCAATTACAAAATACCGTTAATTTTTGGAAATTTTTAAACGATGCTGGGCATTTTCTTCCATATAAACAAAATGTCGAACATACTTTGTATGGAAGAAAATGCGTGACACCGCCAGCAAAAAAAACTATAAAAAAACAACGTTACTTTTAGTCACTTGAAACTTGCACTTTATCCTCCTGTAATTTAATGGGCTATACTTATAAAAATTCTGAGTAAAAATATTGAAACAGTTTGGCACAAAAAAAAATTCAAAACACAGCACGCAATCTATATACTCACGACAATATGGGCCAAATATAGTAAAACTGCGTTTTTAGTTCTAGAATTTTTTTATTAGAGCTTTATAATTTCAAAGATATGATAGATTCTAAAAAATTATTTAAAAAATTCAGTGCAACCTAGAATAAAAATGGATAGGGTAGTTTAGTATAAACGAAAGAATAGTATCAAAAATGACCCTCTAAGGAAGTAAGGTTAAATCTATAACATGTGCATTAGAGTGGTCCAAAAAAATAAAGTCGGAATTTTAAGGCCGGCACACCCTAGGATTGATCTATATGGAAAAAATATACCCCTATTTTTTATTTTGATACCAAAAAATATTTAGGGAGTGCTCAAAGCGCTCAAAGTTTTCCATGTATTTTATATGGAGAAAAAAACATCTTTTCGTAGAAATAGTGTAGAATTCTTGAAAATCAATATTTTTTGATCGGAAAACTTTACTTATCTTCAGGAGATTCCCAGTAATAATACTCAATTGTTTCTTTAACAATTTTTTCATGGTAACTATATTTTATAGGTCCTCCAAAGCCCTTAGAAAATGCAATGGGGGACCAATAAAAAATCTGTAATCATAAAAAATGGTCAAATAAACAATCGGATATTAATACTGGAAGTCTCCTGAAGAGAACCACAGTTTTACGTTCGAAAAATATTGATTTTCAAGATTTTTATACCATTTCTACGAAAAATAGTTTTTTCTCCATATAAAATACATGGAAAACTTTGAGCGCTTTGAGCACTCCCTAAATATTTTTTGATTTCAAAATAAAAAAATATGGGTATATTTTTTTCGGTACATAACAATCCTAGGGGGTGGCGGCATTAAAAATCCGACCTTATTTTTTCTAGATACATTTTTGGACCACTTTAATGTACATATATTAACTTCTTACATTTTGCTATGCTTCGGGATAAATTTAAACAATATGCGATGGAGTTTAAAAGACAACCGGTATGGGAAGATAATAATTTACAGCCTTCCATAAGTGCTAATACATCATTTCTCGAATTCGATGAGGAGTCTACAGGTATTTGATTAAAAGAAACCAACCTGCAAAAGTTTTGTAAATAATTTGTTTGCTAAAAAACTGTGTACTCAAAAAATTCTAACACTTCCGAGGAAAAAGTTTGAAATTTATGTGAAAATTTGTTGCACTTTTTTGTAGCTTTCTACAAATTACTAAGCTTGGGTTTGTATCGGGTTTGTCTGAGAATGAACTATATTTTAATTGAAAATTCTTAAAAATTAATAAACAAACATAAGTGGCACACAATATCACTTTGAAATGGCGTGCTATAGATATGACCGATACTGTATATCTACTATATATTTGTCGAAGTATGTATGTATGTATGTGCCACGTTGCAGCCTAAACGGACGGACAGAATCAAACAAAATTTTGATAGAGTATTGCAATGACTCCTGGGCCTATAATAGGGTGGAAAAAATTGGGATCCTACAAGGGGGCGTGGCACCTCGCATAGGCGTCAAATTTTTAATCAGCCATAACTTCGGAACCATAAGTCACATGACCTTGAAATTTGGTATATAGACATATAAAGGGTAGGTGCTTATAAGAAGGTATGTAGATATAAATGAGTTTGTAGAAGGGGGCGTGGCACATTCCATAGGCGTGGAATTTTTTATCAGCTATAACTTCGGTACCTTAAGTCACATGAACTGGAAATTGGTATGCAGACATATCAATGGTAGCTACTTATAGGAGGGTATATATAAATGAGTTTGTAAAAGGGGGCGCGGCACATCCCACAGGCGTTGAATTTTTTATCAGCTATAACTTAAGAACCATAAGTCACACGAACTTGAAATTTGGTATGCATACATTTTAATGGTAGGTGCTTATAAGAGGGTACATATAAAGGAGTTTGTAAAAGGGGGCGTGGCACATCCCATAGGCGTGGAATATTTTATCAGCTATAACTTCGGAACCATAAGCCCCATGAACTTGAAATTTGGTATGAAGACATATCAATAGTAGGTGCTTATATGAGGGTTTATACAAATGAGTTTGTAAAAGGGGGCGTGGCGCATCCTATAGGCGCGGAATCCTTTATCAGCTATAACTTCGGAACCATAAGTCGCACGAACTTGAAATTTGGTATGCAGGTTTAGCTATGGTAGGTGCTTATAAAAAGATAAATATAAATAAGTTTGTAAAAGATGGCGTGGCAAATCCCATAGGCGGGAACATTTTTATCGGCTATAACTTCAAAACCATGTCACATGAAATTTAAATTTGGTATGCAGACATATCTATGGTAGGAGCTTATAGTAAGGTATATATGAATGAGTTTATAAAAGGGGGCGTGGCACATCCCGGAGGCGTGGAATTTTTAATCAGCCATAAATTGGGAACCATAAGTCACATGAACTTGAAATTTGGTATTCATACATAGGTATCTATGGGAGGTGTTCAGAGTAAAGTATATATAAATGAGTTTGTAAAAGGGGGATATACATATATATATTTATCTATTAGATAACTCGGGTATTTAAAACTGTGTGTGTGTGTATTTTTTTTAAACCTTATCGTCTTTAGATTATTTTGAAATGGAAAGTTTAAATTGTTTTTTAATCTCGCGATGCTGTTAAACGAAAAAGGGTCATTCATAATGAATAAAACTCCTTCCGAATTATGTATTATACTAGAAAAGTGCAGCTAAATAAAACAGCTAATCGAATAGGCAGCTAAACGGAATGTCCATAGTAGAATAATTTTAATTTAGAAATTTGATCGTTACCTTAATCTATTTAATATTAATAATGGAACAAAATTTGTAGTATATATTAGTTATAGCACGATGAAGCCAAAAGTATGGCTCCTAAGGATGCCTCAATGTAAACAAAGAAAACAGTTGGTCCCCTTAAATTATGCTGAACTGAATATTTGTATTACTGTTTTATATTTTGATTTGTTTACCCCGAACGACGTCGGGTGCTCTGCTAGTGTATATATAAAAGGGCAAATACACGACACAAGCTTGCTGGTACCATCAAGTGATTGTACCATCAGGCTCGAAGCATATAACGTACCAGGTCGCTGGTACAATTTCTATTTCTTTACAAACGAGGTCCAAAAAAGACCGAAATGATTAGAGCCGAAATCTCATAATTCTTCCACCAACACGGCTTTGACTCATATAGTGGAAGAAAATTTCGGTAAAATACTAAACAGAAATTAGCTAATTTCACCATTCCGCGATACCAGCATGGTGGTACAATAATAAAATTTTGAAATCGTTTTTGATGTCGCACAGCAGCCGGTACAATCATACCACAAGAACACACACAGTCAATCGGCTGGCACCAACACTTGAAGGAGCCAGCATAATGGTATCTCCCATGGGCTCTTTAACACATTAAGCATATTTGGGGCTGTGAACTTATCTATTTTAAAGCATGTATAGTTAAATCCTTAATAGATAAGTTAAAGGCCCTAACACTTGTATAGTTTATGCATACATATACAAGTTTTTCATGTCAAGTAAGAATAAATCAGCCCTATCGCCGATTTGGTGTGAATAAATCTTTCCCATAATTTAACATGCAAAACAAAAACAAATTGGGAAAAATTGTTTTTGTTTGGCTTTATAATTTTTGGGAATATTTGTTCATGTGAAGTTCGCGATAGGGCCGAATTTTCCAAAAGGCTAAAAAAAGGCTAGGGGCAATTTTAAATTTACGTGGGTAAAACGGCAACACTGCTACTTATGCTTACCTGGGGATCATACTACCACGACAAAAAATGGTAAAAACAATAATATTAGTATAAAACTACCTATAACTTTATTTAATCTAAGAACTAATTTAAAATATAATTTAGCGCCTCCCCCAATTTCATTTGAAAAAAAACAAATTGGAACAATTTTTTTTTTTGGAAAAAGATGTGTGTATATGTAGAGGGTGGCGACGAATAACTGTTACCCAGGAGTTTTTATTAAATAAAGGGTCCTATGGAGATTTTGCGAAGAAAGCATTTCATTGTTAATTTTATTAATTAGTTTTTAACTTTTAATCTTTATTTGGGGTTACCAGGGGAAAACGGAATGGTAAGCGGAGAGAAAAGCGCAAGACTTCGTCTGCATATATTTGCCATATCTTCTTAACCATAGGCAAATTTTCTCCATTTTTTCCATTTTGTCTTTATACTAGTTCTCTTTTGTTGTCTTTTTTAAACAAAGTCTAAGAAACAATACACATGAAAAAGACTTTCATTTACTTATTTCCGAATTGTTTACACTGCTGGCAAATGCAAATAAGGATTAAAATTTTAAAATTAATTAATAAAATAAAAAAAAAATATGTGCCAAATTAACAATAAAATACTTTCCTTGCAAAATCTATGAATTCCCCCTTTATTTTTCCAAAACACTGTGTAACAGTTATTCGTCGCGACTCTGTATATTCACATGAAAATGAAAATAACCGTGGTAAACTATTTTCTCCCGTGAGATAACGTGGTGTAGAGCACCGCCCATGCCTCTCCACAAATAGGAACGGCTATCAATCTTGATAGCTTGATTATATATTGGACTTAATGCCATGGCACTTGATTTGGGTTGCTAATTGTTCCCTTCTTGTAGTATTTCGCAGTTGCTGCGGCTGAAGAAGTCATTGTTGGCGAGTTTAAACTTGGTTCATAAGACGGGTAGCTTCCCTCCGCTTTTATTACTGCAGCGCATTTCCAATTTCTTGTATAATTTTCTTTATAAAACAAACTTTGATTAGTTTATTCATAGTTCAGCAATATTCAAAATTTATATACTTCTCCAAATGCGTACACATCCATCATCGCCAGTTGATATTAACATCGTTGCCAACATGTTCCAGCAAACTCTCCAAACTGGGCAGTTGTGATCGCTAAACTTTACAGTTTGTATATCAAGTTTGGTATTTGCAGATGCATCGCTATTTTAAAATATATGTTTATGTATGTATAAGTATTTAAATTACAATATATTAACTGGATAATCTTACGTGACGCCTCGCATGTTCACAATATACAGATCCTTGCTAGCTACTGCCAACATATGAAACGTACGACCAGGATTAGGTGCGAAGGCCAAGTCAGTTACTGGTTGAGTTATTTCATTTATAGTCTCAATTTTTACACACTTTCGAGCACTTTCGCTATACGCGAATATGAAAACCTTCCCCGTGTGCGTAGCAGTCTCGTCACTTCCAGCCTAGAAGATATTTTATTTCGACTATTAACAGAGTAACAAGCAAAAGCATAACATTTACTACCGCTAAAAGTTGCGAAGATAGCATATACGTCGAAGTATTCCAAGATATGCAACTCAATGGTAGTTTGTTCGCAATTTCATGTAGGACAGGCCATTGAGTGAGGTTCATTATATCTGGCGCCTCATAAATACGAATTATGCCGTCGGCCGATGCAGTAGCTAACAAAAGGCCTAAGTACTTTGGCGCAAATTTGACATCAGTGACACTAGTACGAGAGTCAGCAAGAGTCATTCGTCGCACCCAACGGCGAGCGGGTGTCATTAAAGAAGCAACTTTCTCACCAACAACTTCTTCCCAAACAGATGCCGTGCGGTCAAATGAGCATGTGACAATAACTTGACCGAACTCTGGATGCGCCCACGATATGCGCCAAATCGAGCCAGCATGTGCTTTCCAGTTGCTTGATTCTGTCCAATTGCCTTTATCATCCTCATCCCAGACCTAAAATATGTGTAAAATGGACTAAAAATATTTCGGCGGCAATATGGTATGTAATTGCTCGAACCTTCACAGTTTGGTCACTGGAACAGGTCGCCATTCGGCGTCCATAATAATCAAAAGCTACATCGTGAATAACATCCTTGTGGTCTGCAGATATCAATTCTACTTCAAACATTTCACAAACTTTGACAAAATTATGCACTCTAAAAGCTCGACCGGTCAACAAAAATTATTAGTAAAATAGTTACAAGGAAACCGATTTCATCGGTGCATTAAACACAGGGTGACAGAATAAAAAGCACACTTTATCATCGATATCTTTATCTAATATTTAATCGACACATAATGGCTTTGTTTCTTTTCTTTTCTAGCAGATAATTATCAGGAAGAAGAAGAATGGGAACATTGAGGGAATCACGCTCGAAAAAAGCGAAATAAAGAAATAGTAAAGAAACGCAAAGCTAGCAGAGACTAGTAAATAAACATCTGATCGATGTATTTGGCTATTGAAAATATTTGGCGCGAATTTTGGTTTATCCATTTTGACAGCAGGAGAGCCAAAAAATAAGAGCGTAAGAACGAGAGAGACCTGCTGATTCTGCAAGTTTTTTGGGTTAAGAAACGCTTTCCAGCAGAAATTAGTGATAATTTGTGATAATTATCTGTTAGGAAACAAAGCTATTAACATTTTCATTTCAAATTTTTTACAAAAATATTTTTAAAATACAAAACAATCGTTTACAGTCTTTGCACTGCTGTAAATATGCGGTATACGTATTTAAAGTAATTTTAAACAGGATTTGTGTTAAATATTCTTATCACTGAATGGAATTTATTTTTGAGCTGTGCCCATACAGCCATATACCGTTCCGAATATGCAATTTACGGTTAAAAACAAAAAAAAAATGCATTCTTTTACAAATTATTCAGTAAATTGCCAGTAACTCTCTAGTAACTTAATTCCTGAGAATTTGCTCTCATAGCACAAAAGTACAAGAACGAAAACCCAGTAATAATTTGCAAGTTTTACAAACAAGTGATTATTTTTTTGTTTATTCGCAGCTAGCTGCTAATAAAACAATATATATTTTATTTAAATAGGTTTATTTTGTAAATTTCAACTATAAAAACCCCATAAACATTTTTTTATTAGTTTCAGTTGCACCCAGCAACATGCGATCAGCTGTTTTTCTCACTTGCAAGTTCTTACTAGTAAAAATATATCCAGTAAAATCTAGCAACTTTTCCTCAAAATGAAATGTCACTTTGCGCTCTCAATTTCCCCTTTCTTACAAGTTTTTTGGGTACAAGAACACCAAAACATGATGTTAGTAAAAACTGGTACAAAGATAGATAAGACAATACAATAGGGAACAAATTTTTATTTTGATTTAATATCGAATTTTCATCGATGTCACCACCAGCACGCTTTCTTTCAAATGAAAATTTGGCTGTCAAACCATGGAATTGCCTCCAATAAATGTCAAGCAATAAGCGCTGACATATATCTATAATATATAATAATAATACTCTAATACCATGTCCCCACCGGAGCTAACCACGTAGTTATGGCTGTTGAGTTGGTTAGCCCGATAACCCACTTGATTTAGCGTAGTTTCGCCATATAAAAATGTCACCAACTCGAAACCACGTCGAAAGTCTGGACAACCCTGTATTTTCCCGCCATCTGTGGGTCATTAGCGTTAAGATGTAAAAAAATTCGTTCCTACTAGTGTTTGGACTCCGCTAAGATCAGGTGAGATTTAGTCCGTTTTTGAAAAAATTTTAAATCTAGTCCTCTAGTCCGCTTGACTTCAAATCTATTCCGTTTCTCTTTTTCATTCATGTTAAGCCCCTCTTAGGGCCGTTTTTTTGAGTGTTCACCACCGGTTTCAGTAAAAAAATTTAAAGTTAGTCAAATTTCACTGTTAAAAAGGTTGTAACTCCTTCAAAGCAATGCGTCAATAAAGTTCGTTATTTTTTTATGAATGGATGTAGAAATTGGCGGATACAGAACTTTACTTAATTTGTTAAAAAAATATATGTAGAATGAAATTTACTCTTTAAACAATTAAGTGTTAGATATGTCCTACTTTATAGAAAATGTTAAAAATTACCTAAATATGTAACATATCATCCTTACATTGCTTCGCGTTCTTATTTTTCCAAGAATAGAGAATATTTAAGTCAAACAATTAATGGCTGCATTTCTTTATTCATTCTGAACGTTTGGAATAAACTTTTTTGTTTATTTATTCTTTAGAACGTTCCTGATGATATGTTGACGTACATTTCAAACGCATTCTGTTTATTCCGGCTGTGAAATGGGATTATCCGGAATGTATAAAGAAACGCAGCCAATGTCAGAAACGAAAATATAAAATTAAATCTAGTACGGAAAATTTGTTTTTGCTCGGATTTTTGCAGCGATTTAGTTCTGAAAACCTCAAAGCGCTGTGTGGACAGCGATAGTTAGTGATGTGGTTAAGTTCGATTTGAGATGGTTAACATTTTGGTAGGGACATGGTATAAAGTAATTATTAATTAACTAAATCATTACAGTAAATCACTTTTATAAAGGATTACTTAGACATATACAACGAAATATAGCTATTCTGACATTTTTACACACTTATGTACGTACATATGTACATATATGCGAATATAGTTAAAAAATAGCTAAAAAGGATATTTCTCTTTAAACAAGACGTGGCAAAGCCTACTAGGTGCAGCCCAGGACTGAGCACAACCGACTGGAACGAACCTGCGAGCCTAGTGCTCAACCGCCTTCCGATGAAATACTTGATAGTGGTACCGGGGGGTCGGTACTTGGACGGTAGTAGGTTTAAGTAGTTCGGGTTAAAGTCCACACTGACGGGTATAGTGAATTAAAAGCTTGTTGTTACGAAAACTTACTTTTTGTACTGCGTATTTCTATATAGAATTCCAAAATTGTCTCAGAATGAAAGTGCCAAAAATAGCGCTATTGTGCCTACTTTTCCATCACTGCTGCACACTCGCTTGTCATGACAGTGCGAAGATTAGATCCGTGCGGATGACATCCGTCGGATACCGTATTAGGCATGATGATATATTCAGGCTTCTTTTTGTTTTTGAAAAAATAAAATTTTAATCAAATTATCCGCCTTCGAAAAATATTTCACCCCGCGTTTACTGTTTTTTTTTTCTTTGTATATTTTCTGATATATGTAGCAGGTAAAAATAGGGGCAGGGTCAAAATGGTCAAACTTATATAAAATTGGTCTCGAATTGAAGATCTTCGAAAATGTTTTACCCGTGCTTTGTTTTTTAATGGCTTTCTATATTTCTGAGATATGGGCCAAAACGTGGACAACCGCATGGGTATCAAATTAGAGGTATTCGTAACATATTTTATCTGTGCTTTATAATTTTTAATCGCTTTCTAGTTTCCGAGATATGTATATAAACTTTATTTAAAAACACCTTTATTTTTTTTTAGACATTTCTGATGTTCAAAGACCACTGTTAAAATTTTCGACGAATATTTTTCTAGAACAGTAAACTTTGGACCACGTCAACCGATTTCGATAATTCTATCAGCAAGGTAGTAGGTTTGTTCGTCGAAAATCCAGCAAGAATTATCCAACACTCAAAGTATCAGAGAGTAAGACAAAATTCTCTCTCATGATGAGAAACTTGCACATTTCTGCACGAACGCAAATTTACAGGAATTTATTAATAATAAATTTTTAGATTTTTTTAAATTCTTTCAGATGGAAAAAACAGGATATACATGTATATATTTCTTGTTGTTCTGACTTTCTTTAACATACATTTCAATTTCTTTATCGTACACCCGACAGCTAGGGTTTCTTAAATCGACTCTGGTTGCAATTGCATTTCGATTGCGAATACATTTTTTTTTCACCCGAGTTAAGTTTAAATCATTGGAATTAAATAAATTAATTATATTAACAAGTATTTACTTCCTTTTTTCATAAACAAATCGCTCGTTTGTAAATTTTTAAATTTAACGAACTGGCAAAATTTTTTACAGCAAGAATTTGCAACTTCTCTCCACGAGAACTGTCACTTTGCTCTCACAATTTTTGAGTGTTGGATAATTTTTTGGTCTGCACGAATGGGATTTGGGCAAAAATCATAATTCTTACAAATACGTACATTTTTTTTCGACGAACAAACCTAGTGTCTCACAGGTAGTCCCATACTAATTTGGTTGAGATCCGAACATTGGATCATGAAAAAAATCAACGGTACTCCTAAATTTGTATATGAGAATTGAAGTCGGTTGTGTTTTTTGTTTAAAAATTGCTTGGTATATTTCAGTTCGGTTATATATGTAGATATATCGCATTGTAATATTCTTATTTATCATGAAATACACTAACACCTTAAACATATTCTATAAATTTCAAAAACAAGGGAACAAGAATCCATATATACCTGCACACATATGAAAATTAGTGCCAAGGAACTTGGTTTGGATTGCTAATTGTTCCCTTTTTATAGTATTTGGCAGTAGCTGCAGCTGCGGCTGTGAATGTAGGAGAGTTGAGACTTGATTCATAAGCAGGGTAACTTCCTTCAGCTTTTAACACTACGGCGCATTTCCAATTTCGTGTATAGTTCACTAAAAAATACAATAATTGATTTTAATATAGATTTTATAACTAAAAAACTACTTCGCCATATTCGAACGCATCCATCATCACCGGTGGAAATAAGCATTGTTCCCAACATATTCCAACATACTCTCCAAACTGGACAATTGTGATCGCTAAACCGAATGGTTTGAATATCAAGACTCATATTTCCAGACGAATTGTTAGACCTTAAGGAATATTATTATTTTCAAAAAGAAAGTATGTATGATATTTGAAATTACATGTTTCCACGGATATTTACAATATAAAGGTCTCTACTGGCAACAGCTAATACATGAAATCGACGACCAGCAGCAGGGGCAAAAGCTAAATCAGTCACAGGTTCATTTATCTCGTTTATAGTTTCAACTTTCGCACATTTTCGGGCACTTTCGTTATATGCAAAGATTAAGACTTTACCCGTATCCATAGAAGTATCATCACTACCGGCCTGAAGATATTTAAATAAATCACGCAATCGTACTTAGATTGGTTAAATTTTCTTACGGCTATGAGGTGCGAGGATAACATGTATGCTGAAGTATTCCACGATATACAGCTCAGGGGTAATTTGTTTGCTATCTCGTGTTGTACAGGCCACTGTGAGAGGTTCATTATATCTGGTGCTTCGTAAATTCGGATTATACCATCTGCGGATACCGTTGCCAATAAAAGGCCTAAGTATTTTGGTGCGAATTCTACGTCAGTGACGCTCGTACGTGAGTCAACGAGCGTTGTTCGACGAACCCATCTACGAGCCGGAGTCATAGTGGCTGCGACTTTTTCACCAGCAACTTCTTCCCAAACAGAAGCAGTGCGGTCAAACGAACACGTTGCCAAAACTTGGCCAAATTCCGGATGAGCCCATGATATGCGCCAAATTGAACCAGAATGTGCCTTCCAGCTGCTTGAAACTGTTAACTTGCCTAGTTCATCCTCATCCCATATCTATAATTGTAATATGTTAACAACAATCTTTGTTTATTAGGTGTATATTATTTACTTTGACCGTTTGATCACTAGAACATGTTGCCATGCGACGTCCGTAATAGTCAAATACAACGTCATGAATAACATCTTTGTGATCTGCGGATATCGCATCCACCTCAAACATTTTTATAAGAACAAACAATCGAACGTTTATCAAAGAACCATCACAGACTCATATAAAAATGTTGCAGTTCAACCGAGATTCAAAATATAACCACAGGGTGCTTAAAAAATGTTTCCTAT